AAGTAGGCTAGTGTGATTTGGGATTAGTGTTTGAGAGCTTTTCACATTATATTCTTCATAATTAAATAAATCTATTCTCTTCATTGAACCATGAGCGTAGGTTATAAGCGGAATCACGTATTCCGTGTGTTATTTGTGTTTTCAATATTTTCTGTGTTTCCGTGTGATTGATATTTATTTGTTACTAGTATAGTACACATGCATTGCACGTGGACATATTTGTTTTATGTTCTAATACTTTACACAATTCATTATTTTATTAATGGAAGAGTTTCATTTTGAATGTAATTTAACAACATTTGAGGACTTATTTGTAATTCTCTTACAATTTAGATCATATACTTCTTTCAATCTTCTTAAGGTTTAAGTTTTGAACTATATAAGGGTTTATCTGTAAAAAATTTTGAAGTTTCAATATTTTTCTATAAATATATGAAAATTTAATTGTCTTTGTGAAAATTATGAAGATCCATGGTTGTTTGTGAAAAATTTTAGGGTTATTTTGTGAACATTGGCAAATCATGGAATACCCAAAGATACAATTTTTTTTAATCTTAAAATTAAGACATAGTTCTATTTACTTTATAATTTAAGATAATGAATGGCATTTAATAATTATTGGTAGTTTTATGTGCGAATTTAGAATATAGTTTAAATATTAGGGAGGTTATAATATACTTATTATATAAAAAATTTACTCAAAAGACAAAAATTCTAAGTTTGTTCTTTACTTTTATGTTAATTGTGTCATGCTATTCCAGTTTATATTAATTATCTTTATTTTTGCTAATCCATTATAACAAAATAAAATTCACACTTTCACCTTCTCTCTCTTCTATTATCATATAATTAGTAACATGCTACAAAAAAATATATCTACTAAGTTCATGGATAATACAATATTTCTCTCAAATCACAATTAAATACATACCCCCCCCCCCCCCAAAAAAAAGACCTCAAACTTTAGCCTCAATCCGAATTCTCTATATTTTCTTGTATCAATTGTATCCTCAATCTGCATATAGCCGTCAGTCTAACAATCACATCAGTATAAAGTATAATCCGAGTAAACCTCAGTACTTCCTCAGCACAACTTCAATCGTCTTCACCCCCCTTTGTCGCTATCTCTTCTGAAGGGATAATGTTTTCACTTGCGAGCTTGTATCATCCAAATAATATCATAGTAAATCCATGGGGTGAGTATAGGACGCTATTAGGGTTGTAAGAGGTGAGTGTAAATCTAAATCATCAAATGAGTGAATTTATATAGGTTGCAAGTAAGGGCTATTATGATAAATAAAAAAAAGCAGGCTTTTTTGATTCCGTAACAGTCAAATGTAATTGCCTGTTAAATAAAAATTACAATTAAAAATATAACTCTCATTTCAAGTATGCATGAATGCATGCACTAATGGCATTTTAAGTTGACACTTTGTTTGCAAATTGAAACGTATATTATTAGTTTGTCATATGTGCATTTTAAGTGGATGAGTTACAAAAAATAGAAGTTAATATTAGTGGACAATTAATAGGAGAGTTATGCCATTATTAAGAATGTATGCATGTAAGTATTTTAAGTTGACACTTTGTTTGCAAATTGAAACATATATTATTAGTTTGTCATATGTGTGTGCATTCAATTCTCAGCTATTATGTCAAATACAACTTACAATCTTAAAATTTTTTTATGATAACATTAATATTGGATTAGTGGAGGGGTTATAAAAAATAGAAGTTAATATTAGTGGACAATTAATAGGAGAGTTATGCTATTATTAAGAATATATACATGTATATGAATGTGTTTATATGTATGCAAAATTTTTTATGATAACATTAATATTGGATTGGTGGAGGGGTTACAAAAAATAGAAGTTAATATTGGTGGATAATTAATAGGAGAGTTATGCCATTATTAAGAATGTATGTATGTATATGTATGTGTTTATATGTATGCAAGTATGTGTTTTACGGATGCATGTATGTGATTTAGAGGGTATTTTTGGAAATGTTTAACAGGAGAGTTATGCCATTATTAAGAATGTATGTATGTATATGTATGTGTTTATATGTATGCAAGTATGTGTTTTACAGATGCATGTATGTGATTTAGAGGGTATTTTTGGAAGAAATGTTTTAACAAACAAACCCACTTTTTTTAGCTGAATTTTTTTTGACTTTTATAATAGTATTAGATTAGATTGGGAATATATATTGCTATTAAAAAACATGGGGAGTGAGAGAAGTTATAACTTATAAGTATTGGATAATAGTAAGGATGTTTTTAGATCTTTTCAATATTGTCCTTCTGATTTAGGTTCAATTTATAATAAATTATTAGAGACAGATGTTAAAATTTTAAAAATCTTGTCACGCGAAAGGGTTTTGTTAGAAACAATAGAAATAGAGAGCTTAGGGGGTTATCTCGATACCCCAAAATTCAGAGTTTTGACCGAAATTAACCCAATACATGCCCCCAGTTCTCAAACCCCTAGCACATACATCCACTCTGTGAAGCATTTTCCTTCTACGGGCTTGTTTGGATTGAGGGGAATGAGGGTGAAGAGCAAGGTTATTGATAGCGGATCGCGTCGCGTCGCGGCGAGGTACCGCTAAGGCTATTGCGCGCTATTGCGGCGAAATAGCGACAAATAGCACACAGTCAAATAGCGGACAAATTTAAATATATTTAAATATCCTAAATAATAAGAAAATTCATTAAAAAATCTAAAAATTCTACAAATGCATACTTAATGCCTAAACATGAAGTAGATGTGTACAAGAACAAGAACAAATAACAAGAACAAATAAATAAACAATAACAATATAAGTACTATAACGGTAGAACTTTATTTCTTCACTCTTTATTCATACAATAACAATATAAAGTACTATAACAGTAGAACTTTATTTCTTCAACTCTTTATTCATACAATAAATAAACATGTTATATTTCTTCATTCATTCAATAACTCAATAAGTTATAAATTTATAATGATTTGATTGATTTCAAATGTTGATTATACAGGTTTTCTGGAAGTTGGAAATCTCAAGGGCACTAATCATTTCGGTGCAGCTGCTGGTTATGAAGATCAACCCGTTTATCGCATACATATTAATTTGTTGTAAATTTCTTGTATTATTAGTAAATAACAATTGATAAGCTTGTTGTATGAGTATGAATGAAACTATGAAAAAAATCAAGAAATATAGCATCATTGATTCTCGAAATACTGCAGTCCTGAACGTGATGGAAACACCATTTATGGAATACATATTAATTTGTTGTAAATTATTTCACGTATATTTTCATGTAATCATGTGATTAAAGGTTAAACATCTGTAAATATCAAACAAGAGTCCAAGACAGGTGTGCTAACGTGCCATGTCTAATAAAGATGGAAACACCATTTATTATTGACCTTCTTCAGAGTTATTCTTGTTTATTATCTAATATAGGTAAAGGAACAGAAAAATTAGTTATGCAACTATGCAAGTTGGAGAAAGCAATTCAGGCACAAAAGGAATGTGAGATGAGGTAGGAATTCCCAAAATTTGGACCTAGTCCCATAATTTTATACATTTTCCTCTGTGGCAGATCTAGCCAACAGAGATGGACGCCGGAGCCTGGAGCCTGGAGTGGAGATGATGACGTCGATGGACTCCGGAGCCTGGAGCCTGTAGCGGAGATGATGATGTCGCTGGAGCCTGGAGCCTACAGCGAAGATGATGATGTCGAAGGAGCCTAGAGCGGAGAAGATGGGAGCGGAGCTGCGGAGTGCGAAGATGATGAAGTCGAACCGTCGAAGGAGCCTGGAGCGGAGAAGATGGGAGCGGAGCTGCGGAGTGCGGAGATGATGAAGTCGAACTGTCGAAGGAGCTGGAGCGGAGAAGATGAAAGGCGGCTAGGGTTCGGGAGTGAACTGAGGGATTCGTCGCTTTTTTAGCCTCTTTTAACAAGCGGGTTCGGGTTCGGGTCGGGTTTGGGGCAAAAAAATCAAAACACATTTGATAGCGGGTTAGCGGTTTTAGCGGGTTTGGCCGCTTTTATCCGCTTTTGGCCGCTTTTATCCGCTATTGAGCGCTTTTACGCGCTATTCGAGCGCTTCGCGGTTTTTTCCGCTAAATCCCGCCGCGAACCCCCTACGCGTAGCGCTGAGGGGCCGCGATCCGCTATAGCCCCGCTATTGCCCCGCTATTGGCCGCTATTTACAACACTGGTGAAGAGAAGTTAGGGGGAACCATTCACCTCCATTCACCTTGTTTGGAAACACTTAGGAGGTGAAGTTAACTCACCCTAGTTCCCATTGGTTCACCCCCTAATAGTATAAAATTTATTACCCCCAAATTCGGGTGTAACCAAGGAGAAGGGAACTCCCTTCCATTCATTTCCCTTAGGGCTTGTTTGGATTGAGGGGAATGAGGGTGAAGGGAAGTTAGGGGAACCATTCACCTTGTTTGGGAACACTTAGAAGGTGAAGTTAATTCACCTCCATTCACCTTGGTTCACCCCCTAATAGTATAAAAATTGTTACCCCCAAATTGGGGTGTAACCAAGGGGAAGGGAATTCCCTTCCCTTCCCTTCCTTTCCCTTCCCTTCCATTCACTCAGTTTCCCTTAACTTCCCTTCACCCCCTACGAATCCAAACAGGCCCTTAACTTCCTTCAGTCAGTTTCCCTTAACTTCCCTTCCCCCTACAAATCAACCCTTCAAATCCAAACATGCCCTACGGAAATACATACACCATAATTAGGCACCTAACAAGGTTCAACGTATCCAAAAGCGGGCACAAGCCCGAGGAATCAAAAAACTTCGGTTCAAAGAACTTATTCCATTTTTTTTAAAAAATTTCTCATACTGAACTTATTCCTTTTCTTCCCCTTTTCCAATCCCCTCAAAAAAAACTTTTTTTTCCAGGCTTCGCGCCATGAGCACCATACTCGCCTCCAACCTGACGCTTGCTCCTCTCTCCTTCCACCGCGTACCGCCGCTTTTCAAATGGCGGCGGCGGCGCGTGCGCGGCGGGCGATTCAAAGCGTTGGTGAACTTCCCGTTGCCTCTAGAATGTATCAAAGCGTTTGGCAGTGCTTCGGCGACGATGGGCGGCGCCCCGGTGACGGATAGGGCGATGGTTTGGAATCGCGGATTGGATCGTTGAGCTCAGGTATCCGAAAGTGCTGGGATCGCAGTGGGGAGACGAAGGGAAAGGGAAATTGGTCGATGTTTTGGCTGAGCAATTTGATATCGTTGCTCGTTGTCAGGTAAAAATGGCAACTTTTGAAGATTTTTCCATCTGTTTTGGTGCTGAATGTTCTATTACTGGTTGAAAGTTTTGGTTTTTCTGGTGGATGATGTTGTCTTGATTGATGGGTATTGGTCAAAATTTGATCTTGTAGATGTTATTACTTCTCATTTGTTTGATTAAGTGTAGTGAACATATTTTTAGTGGCACTTTTATGTAGATTGGTTGCCCTGGGCTCTTACCTATGTGTGGCAAGGGGTGTTATCTGAAGAGTTATGCAGCTTATGTTATTGTCATTAACTCTTGTCAATCAAATGCTCTTAGATACCCAAAGAATTGGAAGTGTAGATATGAGATTGAAGTTATGTATAAATCATCCAATACCATCTTTCTTATAGTTACTCCTACTCCCTAACTATTGCCACCATTCATCACAAGAAACGCATAATTCCAATTCCCTGACTATATCAATCAAATACGGCCTTATCGACATTCTTTCTACTGTTGCACCCTTTTCCAGTATCAAGTAGAACATTTTCCAGCCTGCATATTTCTGAATATTTACTCATTAGAGGTTGCATATTTGTTCGTTTCAATTTGCCTTATGTTTCTATAAATTTAATTTTTCTAGACTTAATTTTGTTTTCTTTTGCGTTCTTCTTGGCTTGCTCCTATTTGTACTCCAATAAGCTGATAGCACTGATAGTGATAATTATATAGGCAATTCAGGATTGGGGAATAAGAGATGTCCTGTAGCCTGACTGGAGTCCCATGCTGATTTAATACTTTGGTTAATATATGGGCAAGTTTTAGGGTTCAAAGACTCTCCAGCCCACACTTTACTGGAAAATCTCATCTTCTACTAACACATATCAATCCACAAGTTTAACACCAACTCTCTTAGTACACATTTATCAATCCATAATCAATTTCAAACACAAATAAACACATATCTTTATATAATTATTACATCTATAACAAGTCTTTAACAAAAACGTAACATTCAATTCACTTACTAAAAATCCAACCATAATCAAGTCACGGTAGCATTTCAAACATAAACATCATATCATTTCAAACATAAACATCGTATGAAGTATATCAAAATTTAACAAATATTTAGAACTCCTTTTCCTCTCCTTCTCCCTCTCCCTCTTCTTCCTCTCCCCCTTCCCCGTTCACCTTCAACATGAGCTCGGATGATCTCAACGTCCGGTTGTGTGTGAACTTATGAGCGCATGACATCCTCATCGACTTGAACCTCTCATGAACATCCGGCTTGAGCTTGCTACGAGCCTCCAGCTTCATCATGTGCACGACTTGAGCCTGCTCTCGTGTGTCCTCGGACCCATCGACGCTCATATCCTATGAGTCGTTCCTCACGTCCATCACGATTCGCATTACGCGTCCTTCTAAAAGTAGACCGAATCTTTCCTATGATGCGAACAAACGCGTTCCTCGCCCTTAGCTCGATAGTCGTTCTCAATGCATCATGTGCAATAGAAGCAACCTCATCGAGTTCTTGTACCTATAAGATAAAAAGCGAAAGAGGATTATTAGCAAGTGAATGGTAATAAAATAATAATTACAAAATAATTGTATATTTTGCCTATACACTTATCAACTCTATCTTAACTGGACCTCTCGGTATGTACTCCTTAGGTGCTTTGTTCTCTTGAAATATCTATTGGTGAGTAATCCCTCAATACCATCGTAAGTACACATCTAGGTCAGGTGCGTCAACCCTCTTCATCACTACAACATCCTCCCTCAACTCTCAATTCTCAATGTAAGCATGACGAATTATCTCTCAATTTGCATGATATACTTCTTTTCGGGAATTTCGCTCTATTCTTTGTACAAGATATGGAATATGTTATTTTAATCTAAATTGTCGGAGCACACGGTCAAACACGTGCATTTTGACGATTTTAAAACATATAATCGGTACTCGAGCACGTCATATATCTTCATCTTCTCCGCAAATATCTGATAGTGAAGCTAAAACCAGTTCATAGGGCATTCACTTGACCTATAAAGAAGATTATGTAAATTTACATATTAGTAACAAATGATGTATTCATTGAATATATTTAGATATTATGATTTTATACCTGTTCATCCTCCATTTGATCAAGCTCGTTCTTGTAAAAGTTTCGTGACCCTTTGGGAAGGTTTGCCAAGATCTGGAAACATTCCATTAATTTGATATATTAAGGGTTAGTGTAGATTGAAATAATTATATAAAATTATATGTATTCATATCTATTACAAACTAATATACCTGCATCCTAACGGAAGGTCATTGAGAGCGCGAGTCTCCTTGAAATCTGGTTTTCCCAAATGCCATCGCTCTCATGATCATATTTGCAACAAAGTGGGGCAACCATTGAATTCTTTATTTTACACGAGTGCCACTTTTATCATCTCCCTATAAAGATAAGCTAACACCGCACTCCCTCATGATAACTCTCCACACCTCAAGATTCTCAAGAAGTGACAACCATCTCATATACACCGAATACTTAATGGAATCCGGAAATAGAATAATATCGATCATATTAAGTATATACGCACAGGCATAGCTCTTGACGATCTCATCAGTTGCATCGATTGGTACATTCATATAATTATTTTGTAACCACTCGAGCTTGATCTTATCGCCCTTCATAGTAGGAGCTTGACCCAGCAATCGTTCACACATTCCTATCCAGTTGAAGTCATCAGTACTCGTAGCAGTATTTCCATCCATTTTGAGACCAAGTAAAACCCTAACATCCTGCAGAGTAATTGTCAACTCTCCTTGACGCATGTGAAATGTATTTGTGTCAGACCTCCATCGTTCAATCAATGCCGTTAAGAGAGGCCAATCAAGTCTTACCCATTTTATTTGTGAACATTCAAAAAAGCCTGCTTGACGAACATAATATTAGACTTGTGGTTCAGTCTAATCCCAACTCGAATGTGCACGAGTATGATCAACAATAGTAATACTCAGGGCCTGCATATATTAAATAGTGTAAATATTCAGTAACAATAAGAACATTGAAAATTTGAAATGGTTGAAAATAATAAAAATGTAATTTACCTCCCCAAAGTCTATCTTCACGGATCGGTGTCGATCTTGGTCATAAAAGACCTCATATGTCAATAGACCCGTCTCCATACTGTAAATATCTGCACATATGATGATAAAATGTGTCAGTATTATGACGTATGATAAATTAGAATTAGAAGTAAATTACAAAATTTATATATACGCATTGACTTACAAAGGAAGTAGAATAAAATTATAAATTAAATAAATTGTACCCATTAATTGCTATATATTTGGATTGGTAGGACAATGAGATCTATTATGGCCTGATTGTCTGCAATATCCACACCTATTTTTTGGAGCTCCTTCCCGTCATTCATCCATCTTACATTTTATGCGTACTGATCGCGGACGTCCAGCTTGTCTCTTATATTCAGGAGGTAACACATGCGACTCGTTATAGGGTGGCCAGTAACGACTATCGACAATGTGATGAAAACACTGCTTAAATGAATCTCTGTAGTGGCTTGATTGATACCACTCAGAAGCGTATGTGTAATACAAAGTATTTGCACCCCAAATTGCTTGAACGTAACCACTATAAGATATGAACATGGCAATTTTTACAATTGTGATATGTTACAAGTGCATGCACATTGTCCCTCGTAAATTGATGGTGTAATTATGACTGTGTTTGTTTGTAACCTGCCATTCATCTACAACAAATCTAACAATCTTCATTGATCTCGCCTGCTTAACACGAGACCCTGCAATCTCTTTATTTTTTGGTATCAATAACATCATCCACTTTGCTCCATCCTCTCACCGCTTAACAAAATAGTGTTTGAGTCTGTAAAATATCTTCGTAACCAACGCCTGTATGGGCATTGCTCGAGCTCCCTTAAGTACCCCGTTGAAGCTTTCAAAATAATTAGTTATGCAAAACCGATTCCCTCCATCTTTACTTAGTGCCCATCGGTCGACATATTCACTTTCCAAACTACACTCAATATAGTCATGTGCATCTTGAGATGTTACCTTGATTTGATCCCGTATCCGATCATACACATATGTTTTGGGTGTATAACCTGCTTGCCAAAGAAGACTTTGTAAATGTATCTGATCAAAGCTTTTTTTTTAAAATTAGTTCTAATGTGTCTTAAGCAATAGCGGTGATGGTGATGAGAACCAAATCTCCTGTACAATGCTTTAGGAATACATTTTATCCTATTAGATATAAAAGTAATTTTCCTAGAAGGTAACGCATTAAAAATATATAATTGAATGCATAAAAAAATCACTCTTAATTTTCATTGTTCTCGACCTCCACAACTACGAAGGCCAAAGGAAATAAGCTACCATCTACATCTACTCCTATAGCAACAAACAATACACCATTATATTTACCATAAGTGTGTGCCATCAATGCTAAGAACCGGCCAACAAAATTTAAATCCCTCGATCGAAGGACCAAATGCCCAAAATACAGAGGTGAATTGATGAACTTCTTTGGTTATGAGTTTGTATTTAGATCCATGATTGCTTCTTTTGATCGCATCAAAATATTGAGAAAATATCGCGTAAGACTTCTCCTAATCACCAAATATTTTTATCATCGCAATTCTCCTTGCATTCCATGCTTAAAATATCATCGCAATTCTCCTTGCATTCCATGCTTTACTATATGATATTTCAATGAACTTTGTATTTAGCACTCTCTCAATTATATTACCGGAAGTTAGTTGAAGCTTCCTTTTTAATTTTGGCATAGTCAACCGCGTTATGTAAGGCAGATGCACCACTATGATCTTGTTCTAATATCGGATAACTACATGTGTGAACATCGTAGTATTCTGTGATCCTAAAATGCCCATTATATTTTTTTCTGGCAAATGCATATAAGTTCCAAGGACATGCGTAATCAGCTTCATTTCCATCACCCTTACCTTTCCTTTGTGTATTCATAAAACAGATGACATCGTAACTTATGTGATTGCTTTTAACTTGCTTGAATTCGACATTCTTTTTGATTGGATAATCACGAATAACATCAACCAATTGGTCCTTAGCCTCAAATAAATCTCCAACTCTGAAAGGAACATCATCATCTCTTCTCTAAGTTGAACTTTGGCCAATGCACATATCTTGTACTGTGAAAGAACGAATCCATTCATCATCTTCAAACTCATCGGGGGGTGATTCTTCGTACTCAACATATTCATTATTAGCATAAGCCTCATCAGGCAAATCCGGATTCTCTTCAATATTTTCAGTCACAAATTACATGCTATCAATTGGTGCACTATCTTGCTCTTCACCTTCAGAGTCGTTGCTTTTTTCATCTTCTTTAATTGTTGCCCCTCTTAACGACCTCATATTTTTATAAGGGGCGTCATTGTTCATGACATTCGACGTTCTCCCGAATGAAGGTGCAGTCAGATATTGAAATTGAGTCCGCTCCATTTCACTCGAAGACGAAAAAAAACCATCAGACTCAATTCCCAAATCTAACATGCGTGAGAATTCTCCTGGAGGTTTGAATATTTGACACGAACTATATGACAACTTTTTAATAAACAATTTTACCGTTGGTTGCTACTTGCTCAAATTAAACATAATACTCATATGATGATCGTTTGAGATCTTAATTGCAGACGTTCTATCAAAAGTTATGGGCCAATTGCATATTATTTTTAGTCGGTACTCTCGTGGGCCAATTTCCGTAACTCGGTGTGATTTCTTAATCAAGTCACGATAACTATATGATTCCGAGATCATTAACGACGTCGTTACCCCTCCGACGTACATTGACATATTATTAATTTCATAATTAATTTTTTCACCATAAGAGCAAACAATAAAAATCATATTGTTCAACATATACAAAAGAAGATTATATTTAAATGCAAAAAAATTGAAAAAATTTATTAGGGCATTGAATAAGAGAGGAAAACCCAAGATGCAAATAATCTCATATAATTTTGATAAAAAACCCTAAACTCCAAATTGAAAATCCTAAACCTTAGAGTTGAGCATTCTATGCCAAGTTTAATTTCAATTACAACAATCAACACAAAACATTCGAACCATCACAAATAGAATGGTTGATAATAAATTTTAAACCCTAATAATTGGATTTTGATAGAAAACCCTAGATTTTTACATGTTAAAAGAGGAGAGAAGGAAGAGAAATTACCCTAGAGATCTTAAGCAAACTTTCACGATGAATTTCGGCCGCAAAATGGGGTTGGCGGCTGAATGAGAAAGAGACCGGAGTTGGAGAGGAGAGAAATCAGGATTTTAGGGAGAATGTTTCGGTCAGTATATATCGGGGGCGGGACCCACCACAAATAGTCGAGGTTGGCAACCCCGACTATTCCATCACTTAGCCCCTTCTCGATTTTTCGGCTGGGGAGTCTCTGCTGAATTGCCGATGTTGGCAACCCCCGACTATTCCATTATGTTGGTTCCACTCTGCTAAATGATCGGGGTTGGGAACTCCGACCATTTCGCGTTGACATTTCGAAATGGTCGTGGGTTCCTAACCCCGGCCATTTTGTTCAAGATATTTAGTCAACTAACCGCGAGAGCGGTGGGGGGGAGGTCCTAATTAGTCGGGGTTAGCAACCCCGACTAATTAGGATCACGATTTTTTTAAAACAACCCACTTTTTGGCCACGAAGCTGACGTGTCGAGAAAGTGAGTCGATTTTGGTAAAAAAGTTAGGAATGTGTCGATTTTGGGGGTTAAAATTGGGAATGTGTTCATTTCAAAAATTTCTTCTTTGAATTTATATTTGCAGTGTTGGATTTCAGCACCTGTGTTAGGACTTGATCTAATTCCATAGTAGCTACATAGGAATCTAGTTTTGAATGCAGAAATGACTCGAGCAAGGGACCTAAGGTGCACGTCTGGAGCATAATGGACTTCATAGACTGTCAAGATATTCGTTTTAAAAATTTCAGTTTAATTAAATCACGTAAGCATGAAGCTTGATCTTGACTGTTTGGACCCCTAAGTTACTGTTTGATGGTGTGCTTCCCCATTAGGAGATGGGCATCTTCTTCTTTCTATTGTTTTTCCCCCTATGATTTTAGGCGCATGTTTTCTAGTGTGTGATGTGCACGTAGCTTATTTCAACTGGTCTATTCCTGTACATTATGTGTGTCTGTTCTCTTATATGTAGTGCGTCATGCAACAACCCTGATGCAGTGATGCTAGTCTACATCCACTTTTAAATGCTATTCTCAATCTCGATTCCCGTGATAATTAGTGTACAATAAGAGCATGGAATTTCGGATCAATGTGCATCCACTACCTAGATATCTGTCAGTAATCACTTACATCCGAAAACTAATGGGTTATGGCTCTTGTGGACTAACAATGTGCTATCCAATGAAATCACTGATGAACTATTCGAAAAATGACTTAACAGCAAGACATTTTCCTCTAACCGTCACGAACTGAATGCCTGCAGATAAACGTGACCCGTTAGTAAGAGGGCAAACAAGCATCTGTACTTCTGATTTCTACAGAAACTTGTGGGAACGCTGCGAACTTGAACGGTAGCATTCAGGTTAATAGTGCATGTTCTGTTCTTTAGTTAAATGGTACAGTTTCTTGATTGTATAAAATATAGCCTAGAACCTTTGCATTTTCTTTTCTTTATTTGTTTTACGCTGAGGAAGTCATTGTTTTTTATGTTGGTAGCTTAGTGTATCTTCCACAGAAGGTATGTAGAAGTCCTAAACTTGAATCTTACAGCTATGCGACAGGTATAGTTATCAAAAGATATGATCATGCCATTTTTTGTGCCATTTTTTAGATAAGGTATATCTTTGCTGGTTCATGAATAGAGTATAGGGTACATTTTCAACTAATGAACTCAATTGAAAATTAGAATTGTGGTGTATGTTGCCTCATCAAAATAGCACTGTACTAAAAGCATATTTCCTGAGTTTTTAAAATTTAATCTTATTATTGTTATTATTTCTTTTCATTTGCATCAGGGGGGAGCAAATGCTGGACATACAATCTACAACTCTGAGGGAAAGAAGTTCGCTCTCCATCTTGTTCCATCGGGAATCCTTAATGAGGGAACCTTGTGTGTGATTGGTAATGGCGTAGTAGTACATCTTCCTGGTTTATTTAAAGAAATTGATGGCCTGGAATCTAATGGTGTCAGTTGCAAGGGCAGAATACTGGTGTCTGATCGTGCACATTTGCTATTTGATTTCCATCAGATCATTGATGGGCTACGAGAAACTGAACTTGCAAATTCCTTCATTGGGACTACCAAGAGAGGGATCGGGCCTTGTTATTCTAGCAAAGCTATCCGGAATGGAATTAGGGTTTGTGATCTGAGGCATATGGATACTTTTCGCGAGAAGCTCGAGATTCTGTTAAAAGACGCAGCTTCACGGTTCAAAGGTTTTGAATACAGCATCGCGATGCTAAATGAGGAGGTTGAGAAATACAAGAAGTTTGCGGAGCGACTGGAGCCCTATATTGCAGATACTGTTTATATTATGAACGAATCGATCACTCAGAAGAAGAAAATATTGGTAGAAGGTGGTCAAGCTACTATGTTGGATATTGATTTTGGAACTTATCCATTTGTGACCTCTTCTAGTCCTTCAGCGGGTGGGATTTGCACAGGACTTGGGATTGCTCCTAGACGCCTTGGTGACCTTATAGGAGTTGTAAGCAAATTCAAACTGCAACATTTACCTTGTCCTATATTAGTTATAAACTTAATCTTTGTCAGTCTTCTTTGTTTTCGGTGTAGGTAAAAGCTTATACGACTCGAGTTGGCTCAGGTCCTTTTCCAACCGAACTCTTGGGCAAAGGGGGTGACATTCTTCGGACTGCTGGAATGGAATTTGGAACAACCACTGGTCGCCCTCGACGTTGTGGCTGGCTCGATATAGTTGCCCTTAAATACTGCTGTCAGGTCAATGGGTTTTCATCTCTCAATCTCACGAAGCTTGATGTCCTTTCGTATCTTCAGGAAATTAAGCTGGGTGTTTCATACAAACAACTTGGTGGAAAGAAACTTGAATCATTCCCTGCTGATCTTTCAGTTTTGGAACAAGTACAGGCAAGTTTGTGCATAGCTTCTTGAATCTCTTTGTTATGTTTTGATGAGTATATTTGGATAGTTGTGCTTATAATTGAGGGCTTTGTATTATGTAGGTTGATTATGAAGTATTGCCTGGCTGGAATACTGATATCTCTTCCATAAGGAGCTACAAAGATCTTCCTGAAGCAGCTCGCCGATATGTGGAGAGGATAGAAGAGCTTGTTGGTGTGCCCATTCACTACATCGGCATTGGACCAGGTCGTGATGCCCTTATATTCAAATAAACTGTTAACTTGATATTGGTCATGGTGAGCAAATAATTGCCAGGGGAGAAAATGATTCATGTCATATTTATCAAACAATAGTTTTCTCCTGATTGTGGTTTTTCTCATTAGTGCCATGCTAATAACGAGAAAAGATATGGTGTTGAAACTTCATATTGTTTTAACAAAATTTTGGCAGTGAATTCTATATAATATGATAGTGTCAGATTATTTGGTATCTTATGATATGTTTTACCTCAAAGTCCTCTGTCCTCGTTATTCCTTTTTAGGGTAAACCCCTTGCGCGCCGTATGGTGAAGGTTTAAATTGTCGCGCGCCTATGCGGAAGCGTTGCACGCACACACAACGAACTTGAGATCACGGAAGAAGAAAGCCACACACTTGCACAAACCAAGCCAATTACGACAAATCAAACCAAACACAGAGATATATGTGGTTCGGCAATTGCCTACGTCCACGGGGAGAGGATGGGGAGATTTTACTATATGGAGGAGAAATACAACGGGTTACAACTCACAAAATCACTCAAATATAACTCTAACCAAAGCTCTCAACTCCGTCACAATATCTCCCTCTCAAAGTGCTCAAAACAATGCTAATTCTCTCCTTTTTTTTTCTCCTTAAGAAACCCTAAAAAACGTGGTCCTATTTATAATAAAACACAATCCCAAACAAAGGAGGATTCCCAAACAAAGAAGGATTCTAAAAACGAGTCTGCCACACCCTGCACCATGGGTGTGGCAGAGGGTGTGGTGCAGGAGTGGTGCAGGACAGATTCTGCCACACCCTGCACCGTGGGTGTGGCAGAGGGTGTGGTGCAGGACAGACTCTACCACACCCATGGCAGACACATGGGTGTGGCAGTGGGTGTGGTGCAGGACAGATTCTGCCACACCCTGCACCGTGGGTGTGACAGAGGGTGTGGTGCAGGACAGATTCTACCACACCCATGGCAGACACCACACCAGTGTATGGTGGAGTCTGTTTTGGATTATTCTTCACATTTTTCACAATTCCTTCGCCGTTTTCACAATTCTCCACCTCGGCGAAGTGTTCCCAACACTGAGCCGACACCAACATGAGCATCAATGTGTCGTCTCTCTAAACTCGGCTGCACCAATGTGGTTGCCTACGTACCCCCTTTCCTAAGGGATCAAGCCGCCCGTAGTTCATCCAAATGGCCGTCAACGGCCTCAACAATCACGAATGTGCAACAAGTTTCGACAATGATCAAACTTGTTGCTCGGAACCACCTTAGTGAGCATATCCGTCGGATTATCCTTTGTGTGGACTTTCACAATCTCCACATCGCCATCTTCAAGAACATTCCGAACGAAGTAATAACGAACGTCAATGTGCTTCGTCCTCGCATGAAAAACCTGATTCTTCGCCAAATCGATAGCACTCATATAACGAACGTCAATGTGCTTCGTCCTCGCATGAAAAACCTGATTCTTCGCCAAATCGATAGCACTCATGCTATCACAATGAATGGTGACGGACCGCTGCGATATACCAAGTTCCTCCAAAAGTCCTCGAAGCCAAATAGCCTCCTTCACAGCCTCCGTAACTGCCATATACTCTGCCTCCGTCGTAGACAAAGCCACCGTCGACTGTAAGGTGCATCTCCAACACACCGGCGCACGGGTCAAAGTAAACACATATCCCGTAGTAGACCGACGCTTATCCAAATCCCCGGCATAATCCGAATCAACATATCCAATGCACAACTGCCCACCTGTAGTGTCCCGCTCATAAACCAAACCAACATTGAGCGTACCTCGAATGTACCTCAAAATCCATCTCACGGCGTCCCAATGACCCACTCCTGGATCGTGCATGTATGTCGACACCATGCTCACCGTCTGTGACAAATCCGGCCTCGTACATACCATCGCGTACATCAAGCTCCCAACTGCGCTCGCATATGGAGTCTTAATCATCAACTCACGGTCTTCAACTGACTTCGGTGAAAGGCCAGCTGAAAGCTTCAAATGGGCTCCCAAAGGTACACCAACTGGTTTCGTATCCATGCTAACATGGAATCGCTGTAGAACCTTCTTCAAATAAGGCACCTGTGTCAAACAAATCTTGCCATTCTTCTTGTCTCTGTCGATCTCCATCCCTAAAATGCGCTTCGCCTCGCCCAAGTCCCTCATCTCAAACTCATTTGAAAGCTGAACTTTCAACTCATCTATAGCTGAGCTGGAACTAGAGGCAACCAACATGTCATCGACATAAAGCAACAAATAAATGTACGCACCTCCTCTTAACTTGCGAAAATACACGTAAGGATCAAACTGGCTCCGAGTGTACGAATGACCAAGCATAAAACCATCGAATCGCCTATACCACTATCGAGGAGACTGCTTCAAACCGTATAGCGATTTCTTTAGCCTGCAAACCAACTTATCTTTCCCTGCAGCTTGGAATCCCAATGGCTGAGTCATATATATTTCTTCATCAAGATCACCATGAAGAAATGTCGTCTTCACATCCAACTGATCTAACTCCAAACCATACTGTGCCACCAAAGCTAGCAAAATCCGAATCGAAGAGTGCTTCACCACCGGAGAGAAAACCTCATTGTAATCAATACATTCCTCCTGTGCATAGCCCTTTGCAACCAACCTAGCCTTGAATCTCACTGGAGTGTCCTCAATGCCCTCTTTCTTCGTGTACACCCACTTGCACCCAATCGCCTTCCGCCCCTTTGGAAGCTCAACAAGCTCCCATGTATCGTTCTTATGAAGGGACTCCATCTCCTCCTGCATAGCCACCTGCCACGAATCAGCCTCCGAACTCTGCCCGGCCTCTCTGAATGTAGTAGGCACCATCTCATCGATACTTTCCACCGGAAGTGCATATGCAACTGTGTCGGCATACCGTGCTGGCACCCGTATGTCTCTCCTCTGTCTCCGTGCCGCAATAGAATCCTGAACCTGAGCCGTCGGTCCCTGATCCTGCTCATGAGTACCCGTATCCTCCGCATCACCGTCGTGCTCGCCTGGCGTCACCTCAGTCGGCACTCTCATGGATACTGCACTATCTGGACTCTGTGGAGCTGCATCAATCTCCACCACCTGCGAAATCTCCTCTGTCGGGTTGCTCTCCACCTGATGAGAGCTGGGAAGCTTCAAGATAGAAGCCTCATCGAATGTGACGTCCCTACTCAGCACAATCTTCTTATCAACTGGATCCCAAAGCTTGTATCCCTTGACACCACGCTTGAATCCTACAAATATGGCCTTCCTAGCTCGAGGTTCCAACTTATCAGTTCTAACATGATAATATGCAGGGCAACCAAATACCTTAAGCTGGTCATAGTCATGTGCTGTCTCTTCCAACCACATCTCCATAGGGGTCTTCCCCTCAATCGCAGATGAAGACATCCTATTAATGAGGTGGCTCGCATAAGAAAGTGCCTCAGCCCAAAAGATCTTCTCCAAACCACTATGCGCCAATAAACATTGAATCTTCTTCAGCAAAGACCGATTTAACCTCTCTGCCACCCCATTCTGCTGCGGTGTATGACTAACTGTGAAGTGCCTCTCTATGCCCTCATCTCGACATAGCTGCTGAAAGGGGTCTGAAGTATACTCGCCGCCGTTGTCGGATCATAACGTCTTGATCTTTCTCCCAGTCTGCAGTTCCAATCTCTTCTTCCACTCCACAAACAAATCTAGGACTTCACTCTTATGCTTCATGGTGTACACCCAACAACGCCTAGAATAGTCATCAACAAATGTGACGAACCAATGTCGACCACCAAGTGATGCCGTCTTGGTGGGATCCCAAATATCTGTGTGCACGTAGTCCAAGATGCCCCTCGTCCTATGAATGGCCGTCCCGAACTTCACCTTCGTCTTCTTGCCAAGAACACAGTGCTCACAGAACTCAATCTTTCCACTCTTGGCTCCCTTCAATAGCCCCTGCTTGCACAAAGCCTGCAGTGAACCCCATTCTGCTGCGGTGTATGACTAACTGTGAAGTGCCTCTCTATGCCCTCGTCTCGACATAGCTACCGAAAGGGGTCTGAAGTATACTCGCCGCCGTTGTCGGATCACAACGTCTTGATCTTTCTCCCAGTCTGCAGTTCCAATCTCTTCTTCCACTCCACAAACAAATCTAGGACTTCACTCTTATGCTTCATGGTGTACACCCAACAACGCCTAGAATAGTCATCAACAAATGTGACGAACCAATGTCGACCACCAAATGATGCCGTCTTGGTGGGACCCCAAACATCTGTGTGATGACCACAACACCCCCATCGAGTCTCTCAAATGATGAAAATCAATCTCGCCTAGGAGTCACATGATAAGTAGCGCCAGAATCAAGCATCCACTCCGATGCATCCAAATGGTTCACCTCCGGAGTAATCAAAATATAAAAGCTCGAATCATCGGAATCATCGCCTTTCGCAACATTCACCTCATTGGCTTTCGGGCCCTTATTCTTGCTATTCTCCTTTTCTTTGACTTTCGGGCAGTCTCTCTTCCAATGTCCCTGCTGCCCACCATCGTCCACAACCACGCTCGTACGCCATCAATCAATCCTCCCTCAACCTGCAGGCTACGGCTTGGATTCCCGACATACAGTTGATCATAGCCGAACTGGTGAGCAAAGCGGCAAGGGAGATAAGGCTCTATGTGGCATTGGTTCTTCACCCGGAGAACAAAATACCCAACGCGGATGTTCACTAGCCACCGGAAGCAACCAGCGTCGAGAACGGTCCGATCACTTCTAGGTGCACATTGGTTCTTTCCAAGCTGGTGACGACCTCTTGACTTTGACATCCCTCTATTTCCACCTTTCTGAAATGAGCTTCTACCTCTCGTCGACAAGGCCTTTCCTGAAGTACTAGCGCGGGAAGTCTCCTTATCCTTCCTCCTCAAATCATAGTTCGTCAATGCGTTAGTCACTTCACTATAAGTGATAGAAGATCTCCCGTTCAGCAACGTAAGCACGAAGGTATCACTCCAACAGCTGCATGAAGGGGACGGGGATGTCAACAACACTGGGTGCTGACATCAAGTCGGGACGGTGAAGAACGAACCACGCCATCAGATAAGCGTAAGGAAGCTCGACCTTCGGACAAGTAAGCTCACTCGATGGTTCAAAACCCATATGTGTGAAACTGCTGACTAGACTCCTGAGCCCGCAATGGATGCCAGCAACCATTGCTGGGAGCAGGGAAAGCTCTCTCCCGTAGGCTAGCTGAACTGCAGGGAAGAGCACCTCGATGGGTAGAGCATCTGAAGGCTGGTGCGGGACAACACACTTCTTCAACCAAAGGGCAAGGTAGACTGCTAATAGAGTCCGGGGCCCAATGGACTTCTGGGCACCCGCGGGAAAAGCTCCCTCAGCACTGGCGATGGTGTAAGATTGAGCCTCAGCCTTTTCCAGCAACTCATTAACGGCGGAAGGGGTCAACACGTCTAATTCACGAATGGGCGCACTGGAATCACCCTCCAAGTTCTGGAACAAATAGCAGGCAAACTGCTTCAAGCTGACCTGCCTCTTCTTCTTCGCTTGAGGAGAAGTCTGAACCAAAGAGGTATGATAATGACAGGTAAGATCCCAGAGAGTGTCATACGTGTCGGGAGTATCTTTCTTCATGCACTCCAGCTGCTGGTTCGAAGGAAAGTACTCCTGATACGGACAATATAATCACAAATTCCAAATTGTAGAGAAAGATCCAAACTTTGAAAAGAATAAGAAATTACCCAACTGAACACTAGATTGGATTCCAAATAGAACTCCTAACCACACGAGGAAAGCGAGATCTTCAACGGCTACTTCAAACCCTAACTCCACCAAAGCCTAGAACTCCAAGAACCAAGCTTCCAACTGAATCTTCCTCCACCTAATCCAAAACCCCAGATCTGAAATCTGAGCTCTGATACCACTTGTCGCGCGCCTATGCGGAAGCGTTGCACGCACACACAACGAACTTGAGATCACGGAAGAAGAAAGCCACACACTTGCACAAACCAAGCCAATTACGACAAATCAAACCAAACACAGAGATATACGAGGTTCGGCAATTGCCTACGTCCACGGAGAGAGGATGAGGAGATTTTACTATATGGAGGAGAAATACAACGGGTTACAACTCACAAAATTACTCAAATATAACCCTAACCAAAGCTTTCAACTCCCTCACAATATCTCCCTCTCAAAGTGCTCAAAACAATGCTAATTCTCTCCTTTTTTTTCTCCTTAAGAAACCCTAAAAAACGTGGTCCTATTTATAATAAAACACAATCCCAAACAAAGGAGGATTCCCAAACAAAGGAGGATTCTAAAAAACGAGTCTGCCACACCCTGCACCATGGGTGTGGCAGAGGATGTGGTGCATGACAGATTCTGCCACACCCTGCACCGTGAGTGTGGCAGAGGGTGTGGTGCAGGACAGATTCTACCACACCCATGGCAGACACCACACCAAGGTGTGGTGGAGTCTGTTTTGAATTATTCTTCACATTTTTCACAATTCCTTCGCCGTTTTCACATAAATTAGGGGATAAAGGGTTAACCCAGTTAACTCTTTTTTTTTGTTAGGCCAGAGGATTAAATTGGTTAACCCATTGCTCAAGATTTAGTTTAACCCTCATAAATCTTTTTTAGTGGTTGGGAATAGGGAGGATAACTACTTTCGTTATAAATGCACTAAACTCACTTTATCCCTGCACTAACCCTTCACTTTACCCGGCTGCCAAGCAGCACTCAGTTCACAGTAAACCTTCTACTCTTGACTTTAGTTCCTTCATTGCTGCCTGCCTCACAGTAACCCCCTAGCTGCGCCATTGGAGGCTAGAGCTTGGACCGATGCCATACTCGCTAGTCAAGTAGTATCGCCTTTTCTTCTTGCTGCTTTCATAAACGAGCTCGTTTTCTCGACGCAACCAAGTTCAAGGAACTGATATATATATATATATACTATGTTGGTAGATGTATCTAACAGTCAATATTTGTGTGAAGATTCTACTACTACTTATCGAGATCAAATCATCGGCGTTACTAGTTGCTGCAAAGGTAACCACCCTTTTTTTCTCTGCCCTTTGAAAATCTTAGAGCTGCAGTCTGCACTCGTCGTGCTGCTGCATTTGCCGTGTGTTCTGCTTCATCTGTTCGTTTATGGCTCGAGCCAGTGCGTTCTCTGTGTTCCTTCACTTAATTTTGCAGTTCATTTTAGTTGGTAGTATTCTTCATCAAACAAAATTTGCTAGATCCTGATACTAGAATAATCACGGGTGCACGCACACACAAAAAAGGAAAAGAAAAAAATAAAGTAAAAACTCAATGCATGAATGTTGATTGCTTCACAAACGAGTCCTATAGCTTATAGGACAGTAGGAAAACATGTTATCCATCATTCTACAACAAAACTCCACATACTAATAAAAGATAAAAAGTAAGTAAAAATGAACCCAACTAACAATTATGACGTATAAATCAACCAATTAGAGAAGAAAAGGAGGATGCACAACTAAGTTATCCTCGGGTCTCATCCATACAGTCGCTAATAAAATCCCACCCATCTTTCACTACAAAACTACTGATTAGGCGAAAAAAAAGGTGAAAAAGCTAAGTTATTTGATAAATTTCAACCTGTCAACTGAAAGAGCAGGTACTTAAACATGTATATTTTGCAATAAGGGCTCATACATCTTTCACCTTAAACTTACTGGCTGAAAGAGGAAAACAAAGAGTCTAGCTCGAAAGTACTAATTTAAGTGTTTTTTTCCCTAATTGCAGCAAAGAATATCTGAATCCATAAGCATTACAGATCCCATAATGAAACAGGCAAGCTGAGCTCATCATCGTCAACCTCCAAACTGCCACCATTTCCACCTACGACAGCCGAGCAATCCTCCAACGCACGCATCTCTTCCAGAGTATCCCAATTAAACCCATCATTCTCATCAAACACCATCCCCTGTTCAGTCACCACACTGCTCTCCTGTTTCTGATCATTCTGATCAGTTTGCAACTCAGGTATAAATCCCTGCGCATTCTCCTCGGTCCTGTCCTCTTTCAGCACCCCCAGTTGCTGCAAAAACTCCTTTAAGTCAATCTGAGGCTTCTCGATAGGATCAGAACTAGACTTAGAAGAGGAAGCAGTTTTGGATGAGTTCTTGATCTCTTGTAACCTCTGATGTATAACATGCACATTATGCTGCGCATTGAGATTGAGGATCGATGTGAAGTTGCTTCGCCACTTGAATCTGTGGCTCGCCTTGATGGCGGCCGACGAGGAGGAGGAGGAGATGAGATGGGGGAGGTTGAGGTATGCGTCGGG